TACGGTATGTATGTATAATTTACGCTTGTTATCCTATTCCTAATGAATGTGTCTCAGAAAATATGCATCATATAAATCACGAAGCAAGATTATTCGCCTATCACCGAGACATACCTATATCGTGCTGTTTGCCCTAGCGCTCCTAGAGTGGGGTATTAACCCGCGCCCCACTGGGGTCTGCGTATAACACGCCCTACTGGGGGGGGGGGGCTATTCATAGCCCCCCCCCTGCTAACTCCGAAACTACTGGGCCGATCGTCAAAATTCAAACGGCGTCTGATAGTCCCGGAAAAACTGTCGAGCGAAACCTAATTTCATTGACGTCGAGGTCACTGATGACGTCACAGGTCAGGTCAAAGTAAAAATTATTAGCATTTTGGCTTCTTCACGTTTTGGGCTCTGGCCGCCGTCTTACAAGTCAGAGCAGGCTCATTTTTGGTTCACACACTCGTGAACAGATGCTCTAGATACTCTGAGGGTACCAAACTTGTACTTTGATTTTCAGGTCAAGGTCAGGTCATCACAGGTCACGAAAATATTATATCATGCGTCGGTCACGTGACACATGTTTTATGGTCCATTTAGGACAAACATTTCGAATTTGATGTCGTCTGTGTCATTCGAGGTCATTTTGAGTCAAATTTCGCTTAGGTCAGGTCACTTTCAGGTCAAAAAAGGTCAAATTTTGAAGTTAAAATTTTTTCAACAAAAAAGGTGTCTATTGGATGCAGTTTGAGCTCAGGAACACGATGGTGCTATTTATATTGGCGTACGATGTCAAATTCGTGCTGAAAAATTGATTTGAAAAATTAATAATTGTTAATTTTTTGCAATAATGCGTATAACTTGGCCAGTTTTGAAGATATTTAGCTAAAACTTGCTAGAGTTAGTCATAATAATGCGTTCTATCACATATATTCCGGTTTTTTTCGAAAAGCCGAAAGGTTTTTGAAAAAAAAATGTAAAAATATAAATTTTGAATTTTATTATATAAAATTTTCGAAATTTTCAAAATTTCGAAAATCCGAGATAGCAGTTTGATAGCGCAGTCTATTCTGAGTCCTCTCATGCAAAGAAATTGGATCTAGCTTAAAAACTGAGCTCTTGGAAGCGATTGCCGTGGTTCAATGTTTTGCGTCGAAATCGGCCGAACATGACGTCACTCTGACGTCATTTCCGGCCAACCTATGGTAGGTACGAAGTTTAAATTTTGACACAAGGTGTCAAATTGATGCAGCCAAAGGTACTGAAAGTTTGGCGTCGATACGTCAAGCGGTTTGGAAGTTATTGCAGAAAAACGGGAGGGGGGGGGGGCTATAAATAGCCCCCCCCCCCAGTGGGGCGCGGGTTAAGATACTCCAATGTGAATATTCAGTGTTCAGGCAAGTTCCGGCAGCCAAACTAGGCGTTGTCTTGTGCAGGAGAAAGTGGCGAATTCGATAGGATTTGTTTCGGAGTGGAAAAGTGTGGAGAACATTGTTGATTTCCTACATTTATTTAGAATACAATTCCTTCAATATGGTGTCTGTCAGGGTTTTGTGTAAATGGCATTTTTGTGACCTTAATAAGGTAGTGGCATAGTTTCTGTTTGCCATTCCATTCCTAATAAAGGTGCCTTTCAGAATATATGTAACTTTAAGACCTCGCAAGAATAAAACCCAACAGGACAGGACAATGAAATCGAGCTATACTTTCGGGCCTTACTGAGCGCATTGAGTAATAACGCATGAGTGTGAACTTTGGGCGCATTTTTCCTAGTCTCGCTGTGGACTTACAGATAAAAAATGCCATATATGAAAAATTCAGACATTTCGTAGCCCAACTGACACAAAAAATAAACAAAAATCCAAAAAAGATTTCTTGAATTAAGACGCGCTAGATCGGAAAAATCCCCACTGTGCGATGGTTGCGGCGTGGAAGAGAAAGCTTTGAATGTTCTGAGGATGGAAATGACGGACGGGTGAAGCGTGCAATACTGCGCTTTTAATGTCAATTTCTCTTACACAGAGCTTAAATCGCACTTGTTAGCAGTTCCTACGCTATTGTCAGAATAGTTATATGTATGTATACTACTGCGCTACCACACAACTTCGCATATGTCATCGGTACCTACCCAGAGACAAAATATCCAATTTCCAGGTACCGCCAATATGTTGTCAGCATCTCTCCTGCGACATCTGTTCATTGCTTTCTTATTATCAATTCCGTTTATGCTACGCAGTTATATATCTAGGTGTTAATATCTAGGTGTGTTCCATCAAGCAGGGTCAGGGACAGGCCGTTGCCCGGCATTCGTACAATGTAGATGTACCTCACTGAACAACATATAGGACGCGTAATTGCAAATGCTCGGGGAAATGACTACCTGCTAACTGGTGAGCGTATATTCGCATCCAGTATGAGTACTGGCGATTCACCTTTAACAAGCAATTCCGAAGACACGATATTGCATTAAACCATTTTTTACCCTACCACGTCACGTGTTCCGCGTGCCAGGCCCGTGTCGCGTACGTCTCGACAGAGCGAGCATCGCACATCTAATATTGAACGACGTCGCAGCAAGCAATGCAATCTGAGTAGTCACTTGTTTGTAATATTATTTGGTTCGAGCGTAAATTGTTGTCTGATGCGCAGTATGCACTACCACATAAATGACTGTAAACCTGTAAACAACATAATGGATATAATCCATTATAAACAGCATAATGGATAGGTACACGGCTGAAGAAAATTTTTCTTGCTGCAATGACAAGCGGTATCCTGGAATAGGAAAGGACTGATGACGAAACCTGACCTGAAATACAGCTGCTGTATCGCCTTGCTACAATATAGACGATGTTCACGGATCGCCGTGTGTTTTTTGTTTTGTTTGCCGCGCTTATCGTCACCATATCCCGGTCGTCTGATTACCCAGGCGAGCTGGGCCAATGGACGGTGAAAGAAAGATGGTGCCTCTGCTCGAGGGATGGCCCGCTCCCCGCTGGGACAAACAGGGTTATTGGCTGATACAGATAGGACACACCCGATGATTGATGGCGCAGCCTCCCTCAGTCATATATATATTAAAAAAAAAAAAATGGGCACTGCGCGCAGCGAACAGGGATATTACATCGAACTGTTGGCGGCATCAACCATTTACATCAAATACACACAAGATATGCATTTGAAGAAATGTTACAAATACAACCAAAAGTACAATTATCAGTAAGGGAAGTAACTTAACATTAAGCCGCGCCCCACGGAGGGGGGGGGGGCTATTCATAGCCCCCCTTCCGTTTTTCTGCAATAACTTCCAAACCGCTTGACGTGTATCGACGCCAAACTTTCAGTACCTTAGGCTGCATCAATTTGACACCTTGTGTCAAAATATGAACTTCGTAGCTACCATAGGTCGGCCAAAAATGACGTCAGAGTGACGTCATGTTCGGCCGATTTCGACGCAAAACATTGAACCACGGCAATCGCTCCCAAGAGCTCAATTTTTAAGCTAGATTCAATTTCTTTGCATGAAAGGACTCAGAATAGACTGCGCTATCAAACTGCAATCTCGGATTTTCAAAATTTCGAAAATTTCGAAAATTTTATAAAATAAAATTCAAAATTTATATTTTTAATTTTTTTCAAAAAAGTTTTTGACTTCGAAAAAACGCAATATATGTCATAGAACGCATGCTTATGACTTGCTCTAGCAAGTTTTAGCTAAATATCTTCAAAAATGGCCAAGTTATACGCATTATTGCAAAAAAAATCACAATTATTAATTTTTCAAATCAATTTTTCAGTGCGTATTTGAAATCGTACACCAATATAAATAGCACCATCGTATTTCTGAGCTAAAACTGCATCCAATAGACACCTTTGTTGTTGAAAAGTTTTAACTTCAAAATTTGACTTTTTTGACCTGAAAGTGACCTGAACTAAGCTAAATTCGACTCAAAATGAACTCGAATGACTCAGACGGCATCAAATTCGAAATCTATGGCCTAAATGGACCATAAAACATGTGTCACGTGACCGACGCATGATAAAATATTTCCGTGACCTGTGATGACCTGACCCTGACCTGAAAATCAAAGTACAAGTTTAGTACCCTCATGGTATCTAAAGCATCTGTTCACGAGTGTGTAAACGAAAAATCAACCTGATCTGACTTGTAAGACGGCGGCCATAGCCCAAAAGGTGATCAAGCCAAAATGCTAATAATTTTTACTTTGACCTGACCTGTGACGTCATCGGTGACCTTGAGGTCAATGAAATTAGGTTTCGCTAGACAGTTTTTTCCGGGGCTATCAGACGCCGTTGAATTTTGACGATCGGCCCAGTAGTTTCGGAGTTAGGGGGGGGGGCTATGAATAGCCCCCTCCCCCCCCCCCAGTAGGGGCGTGTTATACGCACACCCCAGTGGAGCGCGGGTTAACATAAGTCGCAACATAAATTGCATCAGCCGACATCTCCGAAAGCAGAGCAGTTTTACCCAGAGCAGGTCCCACCGCGCCGCCTAGCGGACGGCTTCCGAAACCATCCGCCAGTTGCTGCTAGAGCAGCTGCCGCCACCTACCTACTTCGTGCTCACTTCGCCTTCACCTACCGAACACCCGATCGCTTCCCGCCACCTACCGGTCAGTCACTCTACTTACCGGACTAGTAGCGCCAGAGCACCTTAGACACTTGCCCGACCCGTTCTGCATTACTTTAATTTATCGAGTTCAAAAAAGACAGCAGACCTCCACTCCCCGCCCTCTACAAGTCTCGATGTTAAGTGATGAGTGGTCGTGTAGAACTGGACGGTGGAATGTAAAGGATATCGACAGCAGTTCCATTGCGGCAGTTGACACCGTGGACAAGCCTACTTTATAAACACACGGAAAGGGAGGGTCACATCACTAAATCCATAACTTGTAAGATAAATTAACAGTTTCACTGTTGTGAAAAGCGATAACGTGAACACATATATATGTTCAGGCAGCTACCGCCGCCGGCAGTCAGCCTCCGACACTTACCGAGCAGTTGGGGCAGACGAAGCCACTCATGTTCTCCACGATACCGAGCACCTTGAGGCCGGTGCGGCGACAGAAGGTGACCTGGCGGCGGACGTCACCCACGGCCAGGTTCTGAGGAGTGGTGACCAGCACAGCGCCGTCACAGCGCAGCTGCCTGGGGGTGGGGGAGGTTCGGTCAGAGCGGGAGGGCTGTGGGTAACACGGTCACAGTAGGCAGAACTGTGGACAGGGGAATCACACAGTTACCATGGGGAGAGCTGTGGGCAGTAATTCCATAGTCGGGGAGGGCGGTTGATAACGACCACCGACCTGAGGCTCTCCAGGATGGCGATGTGCTCGTCCGAGGTGCCCGGCGGTGTGTCGATCAACAGGTAGTCGACGTCCTGCCAGGCCACGTCCGTCACAAACTGCTTGATCATGGCTGCAGCACAGAATGCACAGCGGAAGTCAGACAGACCCATGGAGCTAGTGAGGAATCTTCACATACTCCTGCAGCATTTAATGATATCTACAACTGGGTTGTTACGAGCGAGCGAGCGCAGCGAGCGAAGTGAGTCTTTTCAATATAACGGAAAAATCTCAGTATGAGCGGCCCGGCCCGGCACGGCCCGGCCTGTAACGCTTTTGAGAGGCTTATATCTCAGCAACCGCTGGACCGATTGGCCTGCGGTCTTTTTTATTGGGTAGCCCCATCCCTTCTACCCCGTAATTGACTACTTTTGATACATCTCAGTGACCATCGTCGCACGTGCCACGTGAAAAGTCAAGGGTGTTCAAGCTGTTTTGCAAAAGTAGTGATTTTGAGAGGCTCATATCTCAGCAGCCGTTTGGGCGATTGACTTGCGGTAATTTTTGTAGGGTAGCAGCATCCCTTCTACCCAAAATAGGATACTCTCGATGCATGTGGCTCACCCCCAGTGCACGTGCAAAATACAACAATAAGAGGTGCCAAAATTGTTCCCATTTCAGTAACTCGGTAATTACTGGGGCGATTTCGCTGAAACTTGGCATACAGGTAGGCGCCCACCAGGCAATGCATTCCCATGTGTTGCGGTTAGGGTGTTACTGCACGTGCGCACGTGCAGGGGGCGTTTCCAGATCTCGAGAACGGCTGGGCCGATTGCGCTCAAATTTGGTACACGGTTGGGAACCAGTTAGTAGGGTGCCGTGCAAAAGTCATTTTGGACCCGTTTGCACGTGCGCACGTGCAGAATGCCGCTTCCATATCTCAGGAACGGCTGGGCCGATTGCGTTCAAATTTGGCACACCGCTAGCGACCGGTTAGAAAGGTGCTATGCACAAGCCCGTTGGAAGTACCCTATCGCCCTTCCGCACGTGCAGGGCTCACTATCTCGCTCGCTCGTTCTTCGCCCAAAAGGCGTTTTACTGGTAGGTATGAATGAGTGAGTGAGTCGTACCAGTCTTTTTCGGTCCTCGCCAAACGACCGCCTCGTCTCGGTCAGTCAGCAGGAAGCCGATGGACATCACGGCCAGAGTCTGCTGCTGGTCGGCGTACACGGGCACCCAGCTGTGGGAAGGGGGGGGGGGGTAACAGTGGCCATCAGTACACCCAGCTGGGGAAGGGGGATGACGACCGTCAGTACTCAATCACCAAAAACTGCAGAGGGCTACCATTGTTACTTGTTAGCATATACATCCATTCCAGCTGTTACCCGCGCCGGGCCGGGGGGGGGGGTGTTTGAACACCCCCCTTGCAGTTTTTCGCAGATATCTCAAAAACTGAGCGCCGCCGTTTTTGGCACACCTGTTTGTGCATCTTTTCCGCACATGTTGTGAAAATTTCAGAACCAGGTCACCTTAAGTCAGGTCACCAGGTCACGCCAAGTGACCTCACCTCAGAAAAAAATAAGAATGCTCGTCATAGCTACACCGACTGAACGATTGCCTTGGAACTTTCAGCGATTGATTCGAGCAACACTATCTATAAAATGTATATCTCGGAATTTTGATATCGGTGACCTAAGCTCAGGTCAATTTTGCTGTCTCTCCATTATAAGTCAATGGGAGAAAATTGAACAGCGTCTGTTTTGCACGAACGCTATTCTAGACACTCTCAAACATAGAGATGTAGGTAAAATAGACACACTGAACCAGAAAATGGCAACTGTGACCCCGCGTTATGTCCCCGAGGTCATCTCAGGTCACGAACAGAATCTAACAGTTTTTCGATGATAACTTCTGATTAGGTGATAGAGCGCTAATCAGAGCGCTGAAAACGCCTTAGATGTGTTCGGCTCGACGTTGCGGATCGACTGATATGCAACACGACCTATTCCGGTCAGGTCATGACCTTGACCTGAGGTCAAATTTTCAAGCTGACCTTTCAAGGTCAAATTATAGTTCTTTCGACGCGTCTCGACGAGAGGAACACGATGCTGGAAAAAGTAATGTCATAGCTCTTTTGAGTAAAAAGTTATTGCCGAAAAACGTTTTTCGTGAAAACGGCTATTTTTGGAGTTTTTGCCCTCTGGAGGCTAAACCGTTGACCTGAGGTCAAATCTGAGAACATTACTCAGAAAGGTCTGTAAAAGGGCTATCGAATGCGCTTTTTTGCGGCGCTGTAGCTCTATCGGTTCCCGAGATAGCCGTTGGCAGTTTCCAAAATGTTGAAATAGTCAACATTTTACCTTTGGTGACCTCTGGTGACCTGACCTTTGACCTGACCCAAAAAAATGACCGAAGTGTTTTCGTCCTTATTTTTGACGTTCTTTCGATTGCCGCTTACCGCGTGTTCCTACGTGGCCCACGAGCCGAGTTAGAAGGGGGGGGGGTGTTCAAACACCCCCCCCCCCGCGGCCCGGCGCGGAATCTCAGAGCACCGGCCCGGCGCGGGTTAACTCATTCATGATATGACTTTACACTCATGACTCAATTACACAAATTACAAGTCAATTGCAAGTCAATTACACAAATAACAACCCCATAGAAGCAGGTCTTAGTCGCTCACCCCTGTGGACACTGGTGGACGTCCTTCCCCTCTAGACCGAGCATCCTAGGAATGCTGGGCCCACAGAGGTCTATATCCAGGATACCAACTCGGTGACCGGCAGCACGAATACCTGTGTGGAAAAGTGAAGGGAGAGATTACAAGTCTATGTGAGCTATGTGCTGATGCAGCTCTTAAAACCAACCATCACATGCCCAATGACCATATACAAATGATCAAGCATGGGATAACCCAGAGCCCAGGGGCTTAAATTTGTATCTCAGCATGAGCCAGCTCAAGTAGCACACCCTTTCACTGTTCAGCTTCTGCAGAGCCATGCTGCTTACCCAACGCGAGCTGTGTGGCCACTGTGGACTTCCCAACTCCTCCCTTGCCTGACATGACAAGGATGACATGCTTGACACCAGCCAATGGAGTTGCATCTCCACCTGTAGAGGGTGGGTGCATGTCAAAATGGAAATGAGATTAGCCTGACAACTGACTAGCCACTAGGTTGTAGCTTCAAGCCCAAAATGCATTTGTTAACTTGTATGCTAATGTACCATTGCAAAATAAGAGGCAGGATTTCCAAACTTGACATTTTGAAATCAGCTAGTAGATCCTGTTCTTCACTTTCATGCGTTAGCAGAAAAATAGCTCATCATATTTTTATTTCTCTGTGCTTTATGCCAAGATGACAGTTGAGTTGAACCATGCCTGAGCCAACATTTATGCCCAGGCTCCAATGCACAATTTTTCAATGCGATTTTTTGGTATTGCGATATCGCATTATCACAAATAAGTTCAGAATTCTGAATTGTTTTGCGATAATCAGCATGAGCAGTATTGAACGACATTTCATGCAATTATACCATTCCTGCAGTGTGGCTCAGCGTGTCCGTTTGCACAAGATGATCATTTTCTGGCATTGCCAAGGCGGGCATAGCATTCTCGCACTATCCCAAAATCGCATGGAAAATCGCGTAGTGGAGACCGGGCTTTATGTGAAAATGAAGACAATAATGACAGGTGTGTATGCACTTACCACTTTGATCCATTTCAAGCTCGATCTCTTGACCCGGCCACAACTTTTCGATTCTGAGGCCAGTTTTACCAAAAAATACCAGCCGGCCGCCGAAATAAAATATCCAGCCGAAAAAATAGCCGCCACACAGCCACGAGTTTCACCAACAAAAAAATTCCAGCCAACATCGGCCGGAAATATTTGTCGCCGGCAGTCAGCTGATATTTTAATATCGATAATGGTCAAGGAGATTGATAAATTATTTAAAACATGTGTCAATTAAAGTTAAGCGTGTTTTTTCATGCAAATACAACAAAGATTGAGAAATATTATTATTGGAAAACATAACCTATATTTTCAAGGGTTGTAACCACAAAATAGACCATAATAAACTTGCCAATACAAGACCACCAAATTGTAAACCTACGTCATTTATGACGGTCACGATATGAAGCTTGCGTTTTAGTGGATCTTTTTTTCCTGTCAGCCTATTATTTTTCATTTTTACAATACCTTCAACTTGCAATTAACCTTTTTGTCTGCTTTTAGTTGCACCTTGTAGAAAATAATCGTGTCGAACGTGCACGCAATGTACGGACCCCCACTCCCACCTTTTATGAGGTGGGGACTATAATAGATGGGACCCGCTCCCGACGCGGGAGTCGCACCTCTTTCCTAGATGTCAAAAGAGTGGGGAAGAAGCGGCAAACATTGTTCCCAGAGGCGCCACCTGAAGCTGGACGGACAGTTCCGCTGCCGAGCGAGTGAACTGCGGTGCTGCGAGGCGGCTTCGCGCGCACTGCATTACACCTACTTCTAGGACCAAGAGGGCTAAGGATTCGCCAAAGCCTATATGGGTAAAGCCTTGTGCCAAGGCGAGTGTCATACCTCAGGAAGATACCTACCCAGATTAACTGCACCGCGGTCATTGCAGGGCTGAGGGCGGTCGTTCGCCCCACTTCGGCGAGGTGGAGGTCATGCTGCCCGGCTAGGTGGTTTCAGCCGATATGCAGGCCCCGTTTGCCGGGCCCGGTCAGGACGAAGGAACGCCACACAGCAAACAATATAAGCTCCGGCCCCGCTACACTGGTCCGGCTCGTAACAATACCTGCGCTAGCTTCGTCGACCGTCGTTCGACTGCGCCCAGTACCGCTCAGTGGAGAGTCCTGCCGAACTCGTCCACGTGTGCCGAGATCATTCGTTGCGCACGGACACAATCGTCCGACGGAGACCGCTTTACATGATGATCGCGTGGTGACCACCTTTTCGCCGGCTTCCACGCCCAGTCGAGCCGTCTGGCTACGCCCCAACCAAATGATCGTTCTAAGCCTTTCGACTGGTTTGCCAAACTCGGGTCTAGTATCGAAGTATTTGGGAGTTAGGAGTTAGGACACGTTAAATCCGTGTTCATGAACAAATATACATTATGCAACTAAAAACGCCTTACTTACTTTAACTTTTCTGGGCTGATGACAAGGTAAACACCTATTCATTGTAATATTTCTAAAATGTAAATAAATCATGAGCGATGAGCGTAAAAAAGGTGAAAAAAGCGATCAACTAGAAGCTAGCGTGGAAATCCACTGACGTAGGTCGCCTCGTACTGGCGCAGCTCGTACAGCGGCACCGGCGTCTCCCGCACCCGGCCGTCCACCTTGCCCGCCTGCGCCATCAGCCGCTAGAAATGGCTGCGCTGCCGGTCAAACATTAGCGTGACCGCCTGGCCGGCCCGGCTAACGCGCGCCGTCCGACGCACGCAGTGTGCCTTCAACAGCGCCGGGATGTCGTACGACACGACCGCGTCCACGGCGTCCACGTCAATACCGCGCGCCATAGCCTCGAGCACACCAGCATCTCAGCTGGCGCGAGCCGCCGCTGGCCCGCCGGCACTGCCCCAGGGAACTCGGCCTCGCGCGCGCCCAGCACCGACAGCGGTAGCTCCAGCTGGTGCACCGCCTCGTTCCAGTTGACCAACACGAGCGAGCGCCGCCAGTCGGGCTGTCGGAGCAAATTGTGTATCAGCAGCGGCTTCAGCGGCTGCGGCGCCACCACGTTGAACGACTCGCTCAGCTCGGCGGGCGTGGTGAGCCTGCCGACGAACTGACCGGGCAGTGCGACGGCGGCCGGCCGTGCCGGCCACCAGCAGTCGCGGCTGGAACAGCGACATTCGCTCCGGCTTCTCCGGCCTCCGGGTTCTGTGACAGGGTAGCCAAGAACGGCAGCTTCTGCAGCGGCAGGTGAGGCGCGCAGACGGCGGCGGCCGTCAGCCGGCCGGCGATGCAGGGCGGTGGGCCGTGGCTGCCGCCTCCCGCTCCACCGCTTTCAGCCAGCCCGTCTCGGCCATCTCGATCACCCGGTCGGCTTCGTCGATCACCAGGTAGCGCAGGTGCGCTAGCGAGAAGCCCTCGGCGCTGGTTATGTGATCCATCAGCCAGCCAGGAGTGCTCACCACGATCAGCCAGGGAGACCGGGCCGCGCGGCCCCACCGCCACCAGTTGGTGCCCCCCCCCCCCCCCCTCGTGCCACTTCGTCTCCACCCAGCAGCCGGACGCAGAGCGGCGTGTCGGCGTCGTACTGGCGGAACACGGCGGGCACCTGAGCGGGCAGCGCCTGTGTGGGTAGCACAGCTAGCGCGCGCACCCGGCGGCCGGCGCACCGCGGCGCCGCGCCTGCACCAGCGGCAGCACGAACGGCAGCGTCTTACCGCGGCCGGCCGGCGCCGAGACGCAGAGGTCGGCCGGTGGCAGCGGCGACTCTGCGGCCGCCAGCAACTCGGGCAGCACCGTCACCTGCACCAGGAACACCTGTTCGATGCCCTCGGCGGCCAGCCGGGCGCGCAGCTCGGGGCAGAGCGCCGGCAGATTGGCCGGCGCCGGCCGCCGGTCGCCAATCGGCTGCGGGTGCGCCAGCCAGTCGGGCAGCGCACGCGGTGCACGGCCTGTCGGCTCGAGCGCTCCACCTCGTCCAGCACGGTGAAGTCGTCCGCGGCGGCGTCTCCGTCCGACTCGGAGGCGTCCTCACTGTCGTTATTGGCGACGGCGGCTGCCGCTGTGCGCTCAGTCAGGTCGGCCATCACAGCAACACTCGCCGATGATTGGCGTCATCGAAACCGTCGGACGACGGTGGATTCACCACCGTTTTTGCAGCAGAGACTGGAAAAACCTCAGCAATAAACAAGGAAAAACATCACAACATGCCACAGCCCGCAATTGTGCATATTGTCATTTTATTTCTCACATGACAGAAAATATTGGCTGCCTTATTCCAGGAACTGGCATGAAAAACATAAGCTAAAATCAAGCTAAGTGAATTATTATTGTATTTCAACATGAGACTGGGAAAAAATCCTTGTCACTGTCAACATGACCAGCGTAACGGACGGGCTGCATGAACATTTCGGCGCATGATCTGAAAACTCTGTGTGCAGAAATTTCAGCGCTGAGGTGAACAAATAACATTTCGACCTCAATTTGCCTGGTGCCTCCACAATTTAGCAAAACTAACTCACAATACTTACAGCCAGTTTTAACATGATCCCTGCATGACTCATGCATGCAAGATACACATGCATTCAATATCAGCACAGTGCACACTGCACACACATGAGTTATGGATTCATTTACATTTTACAACATAACTATTATTTTCTTTTCCTTCAATATTGGCAGCATGACTTGCTGAGTTCAGTGGCACAATCTTATGACAGCATTCAGCAAGTTTGTTCGGGTTCGCAACCATGCAAACTTTGCACGTTTTGCTTGAAAAACAAGCCTTTATACATTTCTTTCATGCTATTCAATTTCTTTTTTAAATTTATTCTATCTTGAGTTGAATTATCTTGAATTACTATCTTGAATTATTATGTCTTGACACTCTTGCCATTTTGGTCTTAGCAATGTCAATGCACCATGCCGCACAGCTCGAGTAAGTTCCACCAAAAAGTAGTAGTGGTATCAGTAGCTGGCACCTTGCAATGTCAAATGTAGATGAATATGTGAAAACAGTGACATATTCATTTAAAATCTTGAGTCCAATGAGCCTACCCTCTCTGCCTCTCCTTCCAGCATTTCTTCAAGCACCTTCGATTTTCGAAAATGACCTTCCATCATTATTTTCCACTTCCGTGCGAGCAATGAACTTGTAAGCTGACCACTAGTTAATGCGCTATCATCTTGCTGTTGGGTGCTGGTAGCAAAAAGATAATATAAAACGAAAAAACTAACACCACAACACCAAACACCCGTCTTGTTGGTTCCTTTTGGTCCTGCCTGGTGACAAAGGCTCTTTCTTTACGCAATATCATCAGTATTCCTCTTCTAATCTTGAAGCCCAGATGCTTTACAAATTGGCCATGAATGATACTAAATTATTATATCAACTGAGAAGCGCAAATCACGATAATTAGTAACAAATGAGGCCAATTATTCCAACACGACATCAAAAAAATAGACGGGGTCGCCTGTCTATTTTTTTGGGCTGTTTTTCTACATATAATGGCGCAGATAAACACTCCATTAATGCCGCATTTGCCGTTGGTGAAACTCGTTGGCTATTTTTCTGGCTGATATTTTTTCACGCCGGCGGATATTTTTTCGCCTGGTTGGTGAAACTCGTCGGCGGGTTTTTGACAGAAAAATTGCGCCGGGCTGCTATTTTTCTGTTGGTAAAACTGGCCTCTGATTCAGATTAATATGGATTTGAACGCGGCGGCTTCGAGCCTAGCCTTCTGTGACTTCAGCTTCTCTTGCTCTCAGGAATCAGTATTCATATTGCATACAAATTGACATTGCTTCATTGATATTGTTGCGGAATCTTATCAATACAGCTTCAGATACCGTGTTTACGGATTCACTCAGTCAAGGTATATAAAAACACTCACTCAGTCTTTTAGGACACTTTGCCAGAAATTCGCGTGTGGGAGAAATCCCGCGTTGTCACGCTGACTCGCAGGTCGCAATGTAACGGAAGTTAGCAGGGATTCAGCAGGGGTTCAGCAGGGATTCAGCAGGGATCGACGGCCCCTACGATTTCGCTGAATTTTGGTGGAGAGGTGCAGAATGGTGTCCTCTATCGAAAATCCTAGTGCCAAAATGCGGGGAATCCATCAGGGGGGCCACAAATCCCAAAAAACAGTATGCCCTCAGGGCACAATCGACGAACTTTGAAAACCCTACTTCTAGCCGTCAAAACAGCTAAAAATGCACGTCATTCGAAA